TCCTGACCTCGTGATCCGCCCGTCTCGGCCTCCCAAAGTGCTGGGATTACAGGCTTGAGCCACCGTGCCTGGCCAATCATGATTATTTTTTAACGTAAGTTCCATCACTGAAACTTTTAGCACATTAAAGTTACATTCACTTTTTGAAATTACATATTAACAGTGCTCTAGCATTTCAGGTCAATGACAAGGCCTTAACATTTTTGTAAATCTTATAGTTACACCTATAAAAACTTTCAGCCAGTAGTATAACTTCCAGCAAACTTTGATTTTTGTCATATACGAGTAGCATTCAGTTATTCTTTAAAATATAGCTTTTTAAAGTCTGCCAAATGTATGTAGCTCACCTATTATTATCCACATCTATGTCCAGAGAAATTTGGTGAATCAGCATGTTTTATTTTGGTTATTATCAAGGCCATTTGAGTGGTTCAGATATAGGTCCAACTGGAATTGTTAACTTCAACTTGTTTTTGTTACTGATACTTCTTCAAGGTGGGCAATTAAAAAATTGTATAAATTTGTGGGGGACAAGTGTAATTTTGTTCAATGGATATATTGCTGTAGTGGTGAAGTCAGGGTTTTCAGTGTGTCCATCACCTGAAAAAACGTATGTTGTACCCATTAAGTAATTTCTCATCATCCCCCTACTCCCTTGTGAGTCTTTGTTTTCTGACATTCCACACTCTGCCTCCATGTGCATACATTATTTAAATCTCATTAGTAAATGAGAACATGTATTTGTCTTTCTGAGTTGTTTCACCTAAGATAATGACTTCCAGTTCCATCTACGTTGCTGCAAAAGACATGACTTCATTTTTTATGGTTGGATAGTATTCCATTGTGTCTATATACCACATCTTCTTTATGCAGTCATCTTCTGATGGACACTTAGGTTGATTCCATATTTTTCCTATTGTGCAAGGTGGGCATTTTTGAGGAGAGAGGCTTACTTTGTTGCCTTCTGCCTTTGCTTTGTCATATGGATTGATTGTATTTGAATCTGAATTGGGCATTAGAAAACACTGTTAAAGCATATTAGTCTGTTGTAGAACTAAAAATGTGAGGGCATTTGAAACTTGTGAGTGTATCACTCATTTTTGCATGTGTATATCATTTTGTCTCACAGAAAATGTGTATTTTTATCTTGTGTAGAAGTAACAGTGTAGTCAGCAGCCATTGTTGCATAGGCTCTAGCAATATTGTTTTGGTTTTTTGTTTGTATGTTTCTAAACTTATACACCGGATATGTTTCTGGGTAAACTTAAATATGACTGGTAGGAAATCAGTTAGCAATATGTGCTGACTTGTGTCTGAGTTCATAGAAAATCAGAGCCAGAACAAGGGGTTTTCTGGCTAAGCTCTTTGAGACTAATGTTTCTGAATTTGTTAAAAATCTAATATAGGTCAGGTGTGGTGGCTCGTGCCTGTAATCCCAGAAATTTGGGAGGCCAAGGCGAGAGGATTACTTGAACCCAGGATTTTGAGACTAGCCTGGGCAACATAGGGAGACACCACCTCTACCAAAAAATTTAAAGATTAGCTGAGCATGATGGTGCACACCTGTAGGCCCAGCTACTCTGGAGACTGAGGTGAGAAGATCACTTGAGCTCAGGAGGTTGAGGCTGCAGTCAACTGTGATCAGACCACTATACTCCAAAACAAAACAAAATCTAATGTAATGGTTTCTAGTTGTGTACATTCAGAGATACTAATTGCAAAGATTCAATGATAAACATAGTATAGTCTTGCAGTTCTAAAATCCCAAGAGCTTGGAAAACTATTCTTTTTCTTGCATTGGTAAATTTCTGGACAGAAGGGTAGAAGTTTGAATATTCATATATTTTGCTGTAGAGATATTAATGTGTTTAATTAAGGGTGCTGTCTAGATTCTGCTAGGGGTGTTAGGTAGTATACATAAGCACTATGTTTGCGCTCTAGTAGTGGAAAAATTCTTGATTTCCAATAGGGTTTTTGGACCTGAATTAACAGCCAGCATTAAATAGAGTTGAAACAGAGTTTAAAATTGGTTAGTTTTATTTCCTTAGATCTCAATGGTAAAAGGTAAGGAGAGTAAAGAAAGAATTGCCCAGGTGAATGTTTGGGCTCGAGGGATCCTGCCATCACAGCTTTCTTAGTGGCTGGAACTACAGGTATGCACCACTGTGCCAGGCTCTTTTTAAAAATAGGTTATTTTTTCTTTTGTAGGGGCTATTTACAAAAAGAAATCCTGGCTTTTTTTTTTTTTTTTTTTTAAATATATACTTATAGAGACAGGGTCTCTTGTGGGCTGGGCTGGAGCTGGTTTGTTTAAATTGAATTTTTTTAATTTTTGAAAAACATATTCGTGTGGTTCAGAAGTAATATTAAAAGACTGTAGCTATGGTCAGGTGTGGTGACTCATGCCTGTAATCCTAGCACTTTGGGAGGCTGAGGTGGGCGGATTGCCTGAGCTCAGGAGTTCGAGACCAGCCTGGGCACCATGGCAAAGCCCCATCTCTACTAAAAATACAAAAAATTAGCCAGCTGTGGTAGTGCATGCCTGTAGTCTCAGCTACTTGAGAGACTGAGTCACAGAAGGCTGAGTCATGAGAATCGCTTGAACCTGGAAGGCAGAGGTTGCAGTGAGCTGAGATTGTGCCACTGAACTCCAGCCTGGGTGACAGAGCTAGACTCTGTCTCAAAAAATAAAAAACTAAAAAAAGAAGACTATAGCTATTTCCAGAGTAACTGTATTTTAAAAAGTACATCTTTTGAGAAATTATGTTCGGCATCTTTGTGAAATAGTGTATAGTTTAGAAATTCTGCCATTATTTTATGTATTATAGAAGTTAACTTCCTTTTTTATTGTCAGAACTATGTAGAAATAAGAAGTAAAGAAAGCATAAATTGACATCGACATATTTGCCTAAATAATAAATAATATAGAAAAAGACCCTTTGCATTATTTTTTTATCTCCTGATACTAGTTGCTTATTTTACCTGTAAATCAGTATTTATTTGATGACATTGGTATCCTTGATCTTCCTTTCAATGAGGAAATGATAACCTGAGTCTTTCACTTTAAGAATATTGCTTATGCTGATAGGGCAGTAGTTTTTCTTGTAGTGGAGTGGGGCAAGGTTTAGGAATGTTCAGCTGGGAATTATAAATGACTTTAGTATTTTGTTAGACTGAAAAACATTTTCTGTTTATTTTCACTTCTTGTTTTTACTTTGTGAAAATGCACCTTTTAAGGAGGTACTGACTATAAACAACTCCAGTGCGAGATACGATTGCCATCGATCAAGAGGGTTTATTTTGAAGAGAGTTCATCCTTCATGAAGTTTCATAAACATTTGTTCTTTAAAATGTATTGGAGCTCTCTTTTCTGCATAAGTGGGAAACATATCATTAATACATATCATGTAACCTCCTCATGGATTCTTGGACTTCTCTGATGAAATTTAGTCTCTGCAAGTGTATTTGCCTAGTTGGTATTTGTTGTAACATGTATGTAGTGAGTACTTTAATAATCAGAGTCTGTTGTGCTTCAGTAATCTTTAACCATCAAATTGTATTTATTTATGAAATTTGCCTTGTATTCTACTAGAAAAAGAAAGTGGAGAATTTGAAATTTTTTACATTTATATTTCTACTTAGAGTCTTAATTCAGTATTGCATACCATCTATATAATCTTACTAATAGTTTTGCTTGTATTTCCTAATGATATAAATTACAGCAATTTGAAATACAGAAATATCAAGTGGATGTACTACTGTATTTCAGTCATGGATTTTAAAAAATCAGCATGTTCTGAATTATTGTATGTGCATGTTACACTGCTCAATTATTGAATTAGAATTTTAAGTAGCACTGTGAAAAGCTGTTTGGCCTGTATCTTGAGCTCAGAGAGAAAGAAACATCCAGTGATTTATGCTTGGAGATACAGAGTTTGGTGAGAACTGGTAATAAGCACGATGGCAGGCAGAATTAGGAAGGAAATATGTGGTAGTGTACAAAGTTTTACGGGGGTCATTTCTTTGAATTCAAATTCTGTAGAAAATTTCTGGCAGTTCCTGTCTCATATTGATTTATTTAGGCTTTTTTTTTGGTAGAGAGGTGTGCTAATTGCAACTGGTTAAACTCCTGTGCTCAAGTGATCCTACCACCTCAGCCTCCCGAGTAGCTGAGACTACAGGTGCTGGCAGCCACACTCGGCTAATTTAGTAGAGACGAGGTCTTGCTGTGTTGCCCAGGCTTGTCTTGAACTCTTGGGGTTTAAGTAGTTCTCTCAATTTGACCTCCAAAAGTGTTGGGATTATAGGCTTGAGCCACTGCACCCAGCCAGTTATTTTTAGTAGAAAATAAAGGTGGCAGAATCTCATCATGGGCCTAAAGTTTGGACTCTTACTGTATAGTTGTGTTTGTTTTGAGATTCCATGGAATGTTTATCATGGGAAGGCTTTTGAAGAGATTGATATAGTCATTTTAGGACGTTTGAAGTATTTTATTTTTTAGTTTTGGTGGAGAAGTATATAACTTACTAATTGGGTGAAAGTGCTTAGGTCGTTGGTGGAAATTTGTGGTGGCAGTTGTCTCTAACTATTAAGCATCCATTTTTGAATTCTCTTATCCTTAACTCGCTCTTCTAGAATTCCTAGAGGACCTGTGCAACAGCCTCTTGAGGATCGAATCTTCACTCCCACTGTCTCAGCAGTCTACAGCACGGTGAGTGTCTGCAGCTTGTCAAATTGTGTGTGTGCTTTTGTGTGTGAATCCTTGGTATTAATTATAGGCAGTGTTTGATTGACACATGACAAATTTTTGGCAAAAAGTTCAATAAAATTCTGAATAGAATGAGATGTATGTAATAGGATAAGGTGAATAGGTTCTTTCCCCATCATCTTAATCTAAGAAATGGAGTGAAACAAATACTATGTTAAGATAGAGAGACTTGCCGGGTGCGGTGGCTCACGCCTGTAATCCCAGCACTTTGGGAGGCTGAGACGGGCGGATCACGAGGTCAGGAGATCAACAAGACCTTGCATCCTGGCTAACACGGTGAAACCCCGTCTCTACTAAAAATACAAAAAATTAGCCGGGCATGGTGGCGGGCGCCTGTAGTCCCAGCTACTCAGGAGGTGGAGCTTGCAGTGAGCCGAGATCGCGCCACTGCGCTCCAAACTGGGCGACAAAGCGGGACTCCGTCTCAAAAAAAAAAAAAACAAAAAAACAAAACAAAACAACAACAACAAAAAGATAGACTTATTTTTCCTTTCTGTAAATATTAACCTCTGGCCTTATTATTATTATTATTTTTATTATTTTCGAGATGGAGTTTCACTGTGTCACCCAGGCTGGAGTGCAGTGGTATGATCTTGGCTTATTGCAACCTCCGCCTCCTGGGTTCAAGCGATTCTCCCTCCTCAGCCTCCCAGTAACTGGGACTACAGGCACGTGCCACCACACCTGGCTAATTCTTGTATTTTTAGTACAGGTGGGGTTTCACCATGGTGGCCAGGCTGGTCTCAAACTCCTGACCTCAGGTGATCTGCCCACCTTGGCCTCCTAACGTGCTGGGATTACAGGCAGCTTTGTATTCTTTTTGCACTCTGAGTTTTATTTTCTTTCTGGATTTTTTTTCTTAAAAATTTCACCAGTTTTATGTTTTCTAAACTTTAAATTTTTAAAATTTTACTTTTTATTCTCCTTGATTATGTATTTTCAAAATGCTGAAAGTTTAGAAGAGTGAACACTTTTTTTAAAAATTTGAGATGGAGATTTGCTCTTGTTGCCCAGGCTGGAATGTAATGGTGCGATCTCGGCTCACTGCAACCTCTGCCTTCCCAGTTCAAGCGATTCATCTGCCTCAGCCTCCGAAGTAGCTGGGATTATAGGCATGCGCCACCACGCCTTGCTAATTTTGTACTTTTAGTAGAGACAGAGTTTCACCATGTTGGTTAGGCTGGTCTTGAACTCCTGACCTCAAGTGATCCACCACCTCAGCCCCTCAAAGTGCTGGAATTATAGGTGTGAGCCACTGTGCCTGGCTGTGAACACCGTTTTTAACAGAAGGAAATTTAATTTTTTTTTCATTTTTAAGAGATCAGGTCTCACTCTGTCACCCAGGCTGGAGTGCAGTGGCATGATTATGGATTACTGCGCCTTGAACTCCTGGCCTCAAGTTATCCTCCTGCCTCAGCCTCCCAAGTAATTGGGACTACAGTCACATTGCTCTGTGCATGCTAATTAAAATAATTTTTTGGCTAGGCAAGATGGCTCACGCCTGTAATCCCAGCACTTTGGGAGGCCAAGGTGAGTGGATCACGAGGTCAGGAGATCGAGACCATCTGGCTAACACAGTGAAACCCCGTCTCTACTAAAAATACAAAAAATTAGCTGGGCGTGGTGGCGGGCGCCTGTAGTCCCAGCTACTTCGGAGGCTGAGCTTGCAGTGAGCCGAGATTGCGCCACTGCACTCCAGCCTGGGCAACAGAGCGAGACTCTGTCTCAAAAAAAAAAAAAAAAAAAAATTATATTTTGGCAGAGGCAGGGTCTTACGATGTTGCTCAGGCTGGTCAGACTCCCAAACTCAAGCAGTCCGCCTTCCTCCACCTCCCAAAGTGCTGGGATTATAGACATGAGCCATTATGCCCAGCCCCTTTAATTTTTTATATTAGATGATTCAAATTCATAAATGAAGGGAAAATAATTATTTTGAGGATTCTTACTTGGTTGAGCAGGCTGGTTTCAGGTTCCTGGGCTCAAGTGATCCATCCACCTTGGCCTCCCAAAGTGCTGGGATTACAGGCGTGAGCCACTATGCCTAGCCATATGAAAGAAAATTTAAAAGTTAGAGGATGAAGGTAACAATATTAGAAGTAAGTTTTAGGTGTTTTACAGCGAGCCTAAGATAATTTAGGGGAATTAGGGAGTGAAACCTATCTTTTAAATATTTCGACTCAACATACCATTAGATAGAATGCTTTTAAAGGACTCACAGTCTACTGAGGGAGATAAGAAAATAAATAATTCTAATATAAAGTGATATGATAGAGAAGTGATTCATATGGTTTTGGGTTATGAATCACTTTTAGAATCTGAAAATAGTTTTAATGTTCTCTCTTTCAAGAGGAACATATATTCAGTGTTTACATATAATTTCAGAATTTGCCAGATGTCCATCAGGCCATTTCTTTTTTTTGAGATGGAATCTCACTCTGTTGCCCAGGCTAGAGTGCAGGGGCTCGATCTCGGCTCACTACAGCCTCCGCCTCCTGGTTCAAGTGATTCTCCTGCCTCAGCCTTCCAAGTAGCTGGGATTACAGGTGCGCATCACCACACCTGGCTAATTTTTGTATTTTTAGTAAAGATAGGGTTTCACCATATTAGTCAGGCTGGTCTCAAACTCCTGACCTCCAGTGATCCACCCACCTCGGCCTCCCAGTGTTCTGGGATTACAGGTGTGAGACCCTGCGCTCCACCTCATCAGGCCATTTCTAAGCTCCAGATTAAGAACCTTTGATTGGTGACAGGAACATGTTAATTGCATGCGAAAGGAAGAGGTGACTGCATTCAGAAAGTGACACTTAAAGCAGAAGATGCAAGACTTCTGTAGGTAGAGAACGGAAGGCAAAGCCTTCTAGGAAGTGAAGATTCAGACGCGTGGTTAACGGAGTGGCCAGTAGTCAGTTCACTGTGACATAATATGAAGTGAAATAAAGAGTATGTAGGTTGGTTGGGGGGCGGGGGTTTAAGCTGACCTTTGTATATTTGCAAATTAACTAAGCATGGTGGCATGTACCTGTAGTCCCAGGTACTTTAGAGGCTGAGGCAAGGGGATCACTTGAGGCCAGGAGTTCAAGGCTGCAGTGAGCTTTGATCAAACCTCTATGCTCCAGCCTGGGTGACAGAGTGAGACCCTCAACAAAAAAAGGAGTATCATGCAGGTAATGGATAGGATGATAGTTTTTCTTGGTTTGTCTGAAACAAGGCTCAGTAACACCTATTGTAGATCAATTTATTATTTCTGCAGCCCTAGTCACTCTTAGAATTGACCCAGTTTCTATTATAAATTATCTGATCACCCTAATCATTAGGAATCTTCAATTCATTGAAAAATAGCATTTTGAATAACACATTGAAAAATAACCTTTGGGCCCAGGGTAGTGGCTTACTCCTGTAATCCTGGGGCTTTGGGAGGCCAAGGCGAGTGGATCACAAGGTCAGGAGATCGAGACCATTCTGGCCAACATAGTGAAACCCCGTCTCTACTATTAATACAAAAATTAGCCGGGTGTGGTGGTGTGAACCTGTAGTCCCAGCTACTCGGGAGACTGAGGCAGGAGAATAGCTTAAATCTGGGAGGCAGAGGTTACAGTGAGCCGAGATCGTGCCACTGCACTCCAGCCTGGCGCCAGAGCGAGACTGTGTCTCAAAAGAAAAGAAAAGAAAAGAAAAATAACCTTTGGCTGATTGTGCTGTTTCCTACCTGTAATCCCAGTAGTAGGGGAGGCCAAGGCGGGAGGATTGCTTGAACCCAGTAGTTTGATACCAGCCTGTGCAACATAATGAGACCCCATCTCAACAAAAAATAAAAAAAAACTAGCCAGTCATGGTGATGTGAGCCTGTAATTTTAGGTAGTTGGGAGACTGAGGCAGGAGAATCACTTGAGCCCAGGAGGTCGAGGCTGCAGTGCGATATCTGATTGTGCCTCTGCGTTCCAGTCTGGGCAGTAGAGCAAGACCCTGTGTCTTAAGAAAAAAAAGAAAACTTAAAATATTTTTTTCTGGCACAACCTTCCTCTAGGTCTTAGTTTTTTATGGTTTTTAAAAAAAGTACTATGCAAAAGAACAGCATCATTGTCAGAATCCCTCTTAAAATATGATGTTTTCTAATTACCTAAGTGTACTTTCACCATTTAAATATTATTTTTAAACTAAGATAAGTGAAAGAAAATGAAAACTTGTAGTAATCCTGAGTGATTTATAGAGACAAATACTATAACCATTTTTTGGGGTATAGTTTAGTTTGTCTTTCTTGTCTGTTTTGTAGGCCCTATGCTTTATCTTGTCACTTTATCTCATATCAGCTTTTCGTATGCCATTCCTTAGATAACAGTTCTTAAATAATAAGTGGTTATATATTGTTTATTATAGAATCTAATCACTCAGCATTGAATACTTAAGCTTAAGCTTTTATTGTGTGTCATGCAGTGGTCTAGGTGTTCAGGATATGGTAATGGAGCAACACAGACCCTCAGCCCTCATGGATATTACATCTTTATGGTATAAGAAGACAGCAAACAAATATATATATACAGTTTCCTATTGGGTTGTAATAAGTAGCTTGATGAGAATAAAGCAGGATACTGGTCATTCTACCTTAACTAATTATCTCAGGGAAAGTCTCTCTGAAAAGGTGGCAATTAAGCTGAAAGTGAAGATTTCTAGGGGAAAAAAGCATTTGTGGTAGAAGGTACAGCAGTGCAGACGCCCAGAGATAGTAGTGAGCTCAATGTAGTCTTAGAAATGGAAGAAAGCCAGTGTGGCTGGAATGGAGAGAGGTTGGATTTGAGACATCAGATTATGTGGACTGGTTTGGTTTGACTCTGTGTCCTTACTCAAATCTCATGTGGAATTGTAATCCCCAACATGTCCGGAGGGACCTGGTGGGAGGTGATTGGATCATGGGGGCGGATTTTCCCCGTGCTGTTCTTGTGATAGTG